CGTGATCAAATTTTCAAGAAACAAACGTTCGTATTGAATTTGGACTACTACTGACCAACGCTAACAGACTACCTATTGTTTAAAAGGCCCTCTGGTGGCGCAAGAAGACAAATTTTATAAAATAAAAAGCAGTTGAAACTGCATTTTTATGAATAAAAATTTGACAAACTATTTATCGTTTTATGACAAGTAAAATTTTTTTGTCATGTTCGTGGTTTTTAAGTAATGAATAAATCTTCAAAACGCGAGGCCCTTCGGACCGCGAGGCATAGGCGGTGGCCCACGTTGCCCATGCCTTATGCCGCCCTTGGTCATAGAAATGATGTAATTTGAAAATAAATTATTTATAAATACGTATGTCAAATTATATTTTTATTACAACGCAAAATATATTTAAGAGTTTACGGCCACTGTGCTGGGTGAGACGTTGTTGAAACAAAAAAAGTTATGTATTCCATCACGTACATAAACAGTATCGTAATTCGCCAAGTGCAAATCAGCAAATTCGTAAAATTTTTGTATATTTTGAACAATCCGGATAATCGAAAATCCAGATAATAGAGGTCCAGATAATCGAGGTTCTACTGTATAATTAATTGTTTGTCATAAAATAATAATCATCATTAAAACCTAACTAAACAGTATTAAAACTATTATATTTTTTTACAGATATTTTGTTTAAAATGCACATATAATGAATTTTATTATTAAATAAACGTTCAATTTTGATTCATCTGGAAAAATTAAATCTTAATCAAAATTTTGCATTACAGATGATGCTTTCAATATGACAAAACTGAACATTAACTAATATGTAAATTTTAAAAATATTAATATTTTACTTAATTAGAAATAATATATCTATATTTATTTCAGTGCTCTTTCTGTATTTCAATGCTTAAAAAGTAGAAAAAGTAGAACTTTGTAGGAAAAAATCAGGATAAGTAGGACAAATTTAAAAATAACAAAAATTATTACTTGAAGAAATATGTTCAATAAAATACTATATCATGACAAAAGCAATCTACAGTATATATATATTTGATAAAATACATGCTCATTTAACAAACAGAAAAAGATTGGGATATATACTAAATTAAGTCTATTTTATTTATTTTTTTTTTAATTAAAAATTTCCTACTAAAAAGACTATCACTCATTAGTTAAATAATAATCCTGGATAGCTTATGGCTGACTATATTAACAATTATTTTATTTATGTTATAAAAACTAAAATAAAAATTACCTTGACATGCATTATGAGTGACAGTAAAGCACCATATAAGCAAAGAACGGACGATCCAAATTCTAATTCAAGATGAATAACATCTGATGCCAGTGATGTTGGATCAAATTCTTCTGAAGATGGAGGAAGTTTTGTGCTTCTTCGACCACCATTTGGTCTTATAGGAGATAATAATAATTCTTCTTTTTCTGGAGTTGTGATATCTAAATCAGTTTGTTGTCCCATTGGTGTTATAGGATGATATGTATAAGCAATACTCAAAGCTACAAGTGGTACTGACCAGCAATCAACCCAACCAGAACTAATAAAAAATATATACTTTTTTCAATAATCAAATATTAAAAATTATATATTACTAGTTATAATCAAATTATACTTATATTTAAATTTTATTAACTTTAATCATTGTTTGTTTCATTTGTATATATTCTTATAAAATAATGTAAAATTAACTAATATATTTTATTTCATAGTTAAGTATAAGATTAGAGGCAAAAAATTAAAAACTCTACTAAAGTACTGAAATCAAATTCTCATTCTAACTCTTGATAAAAAGTTTTTACTGTTTTAGAATATAAAATGTTACATCATTAAACATTTTTTGAAAAATGTTTACTGTATATCTTAAAATATATCATTACTATATCAAAGGTGTACTTTTTAAGGCTAACATAAAAACATAAAACTATCATAATCTGGATAGAAAATTTTTCCAAAAATATTAAAATAACATTTTACATTGTCCAAGAACAAGTAATAATGTTAAAATGAATCCAAAGTAAATACTAAACTACAAATAGGAGCCTTGTTGTAGAAGTTAAGATAATATTTTCAAAAATGTGAGATTATAAATAAAAACTTATAAACTGAAATATTTCTATAAAATTATTACTCTGTTTCAATTTTCAATACTTAGACTAGCAAAAATCAGATTTTTTTATATAATTAATATGAAAATCTGATTCCTGCTAATCTAGGTATTGAAAATTGAAACAAAGTAATAATTTTTTTAGAAATATTTCAGTTTATAAGTTTTTACATATATTCTCACATTTTTGTATATTTCTATATTCTTTATTCTATATTTTAATATTTCTAATATTAAATTCATAAATTTTCAGCAAAAAACTGAATAAATTAATTAACCAAATAGATAACTAGATAACCAGAATTGCGTTTTGAATTTCTTAATTAAAGAATGGTAAATAAGTACAATAAGTATAATAAAAATTTAAAATTTTTTATATTTTCAAAAAACATTATGTCTGTATTTTACTGTTAATGTCTGATTTTTCACATCTACAGACATTAACAATGAGATACAGACATTTAAAAGACCAACGACACTTCATGAATATTTGTGGCTTCATATGCCACTAAAATTATACAGAGTATTACATTCTAATCAATCTATATAATTTTGAAATACTAACAATAATAAAATTATTTATTTTAAAAAATCTCAATTAAAAGTCATATAAATTATTTTGGTATAAAAAATTTCTTTCAAAAAGTTAAAAATTGTTGATTAATGTAAGATAATTGTTATAATCATGTTACAATAAAAAAAAAAATAAGTGAATGTTACATTACCAACATTAGTTTAATAGTATTAAATTTGATTCAAGATCAATAAGTTTTGTGATCAAATCCTTCAGGATTTGGTTACAAAATCTTTGGTGACAAAGGTGTCATCATATTTTTTGTCTTTAGAGAAGAAATATTATGATGACACCTTTATCATTAAAGATAAAGATATGTTTGATAAGAACAAAAAACAATGTTCCTCACATCATGTCATTGTAAAATGTCAGTTATAAAAAAATTTCAAAAAATAATAGTGATGATACAAAATAAAAGAATATTAAGCTTTTTTCCTAACAATTCTAAACATGAAATATTTTATACAGAAATATGATATATACCTAGGTTTACATAAATTCCTCCACTTTTTCTCATCTTCATTTTTCTTTAGAGATGAACCTTCACGATTTGTCAATTTAATATTCTTTTGCAATGTTAAAACTATATCTCTATTAGTATTAGTTTCTGGTAAATAAAAGGATAAGTCCACACTTTCACCCTATTAAAAATAATAAGCATATTTATTTTTAATCTCAAGTTAAGATCTTTATAAGATGAAAAATATACTTTAAATATTATTGATAAAGTCATTTAATAAAGCATAACAAAATAATTTACTTAATATTTTTCATTTCATGATTATTAAAATAATTATTATTAAAAAATTTAATACAATATTAATTTTTATTAAGTAATTTCTCATAATTAAGAAACATTGATAAATTTTTAAATATGCAATGACTAAATAATAACCTTTAATTGAAGCCTTTACTTAAATTATTTTAATCTTAAATATATTTTTTAAAATTATTTATAAAGTATAAAATTATACAAATAATATATAATTACATAGTATACACTACTTTCTTATAAATAGTTTTAAAAGTATTTATAATTTACCTGAATCCAAAACTCCAATGAAACAGTAGGAGGAACAAAATCAATAAAAGGTAGATTAAATGACATATCAAATAATTCACCACAAATAGCAACATGAGCTAAAGAAAAAAGAAAACTACTTTTATTTTTAAGCATTTTAATATCTTGCAAATAACAATTTAAATAACTTTTATATAATGAAATAAATAAAACGTTACATATTTATTATAATTATTAATTATATTATTAATTTTATTACTATTAAATAGTACTTAATAATGCACAGGGTGTCTTCAAAGGTATTTTTCAATTTAAAAAATTCATATAACAAGTTTTATACCTAAACAGTAAGAACTTTTGAGCTTAATAATTCTGTAACTCAGATTTTTTTTTAAGAATTTGAGAGTGCCATTTAAAACTACAGACAGAATGCAGCAATAATCAGAAACCAAGATTGCAACCAAACAGGAAAAAGTTCAATGTATCAGTTGCATGGCTAACTGGTATGTTGGATATGATATCATTACACTTTTTTCTCTAAGAGTAGATTAAAAAATTATGTATCAGACAATAGTGTCTGATGTTGCTGAATTAAAGGAAAGAACCACCAAAGCCAAAGAGCTCCAGTTAATGATGACATCTTGGGAACACAAAGACAGAACTTGATCATCATCTTGATATATTATATGTAACCAATGGTACAAATATTTAAAATTATTAATAAACAGTAAAAGCTTTATGAGTTAGAGAATTGAATTTGTTATTTTTACGGAACCATTATGCTAAAAACAATTCATGAAATCAGAAAGTATTTTTATTAACATAATGTATATAGTAATAATTAATTATAATATATAAATTATTATTAATAATATGTTGCATTATTTATTAACAAAATCTCAATAAATGTTACGCATCTAAAACAAGTGAAATAACTCAATATTTTATTTAATTATTTTTATCATTTGCTGCAAAAAAGAACTTTATCGAAAATTAAAGGATGCAAGATAATTTTCTTTAAATAGTAGCAAGTGATAACTAATTCTTCATTTGGATTTTAGTAATTATAGTTATTAACTACAGTGGAACCCCAGTTAACGAACGTAATCCGTTCCACGAGTCCGTTCGTTAACCGAATTGTTCGTTAACTGAAGCAATTTTTCCCATAGAAATTAATGCAAATACAATTAATCCGTTCTAGACGTCAGTATTTTTGTAATTTTATTTGTAAAATGGGTTTTCTTTAATGAAAATATAGGAAAACGTGCTCATAAACAGTCGATCTAGGTTAAATTTTCGGAAAAAAGGAAAGATTTGACGGGTATAAAAACATCACATACGATCGTTAAAGTTCTAAAATGACAGATAGCAGAAACAATATGCTAAATTATGAGCGAAAGGCTTATATGTTTATCAACAATCTCTGATCAGAGTTGACGAAGAGGTGTCAAATAAACGCTTCGGAACAAATCTTTCTCGTGACCTGATCTGGTTTCGGTTTTCACCTGGACACAAAGAAGAAAACAATCGGGAAGCGAGGAATGGGATGCAGGACTAACCGTAAGGTGAGATTCAAGAAAGAAATACTATAAAAACCCCGAATCTCAAGGTCAAAACGCAGTTTTCCTAAAAGTTCTATGGCGATTAATCTGTGTCATCGTCATCTGGATTAAGCCTGAAGTCATGCCCGCTAAAATTTGTATTGTGTCTCACGTACTGCTCCAGTCGTTGCAGCTCTGTCACCTACCATCGCTTCTCTGACAAAGCGAACCCATCTCGTCCGCTCTGGGGCTATGACTAATCAGCTTGCACTATCGTAGGACCAGTGATACGCCACTCCTCAGTGCGGAGAGAAAATACTGTAGATAAGCCATTTCCAACTACCTCAAATATGTAAGCATTTTCCAGTTCTAATAAACGATTTTCACTGTAAAAAACTTTGTCATCTTTGTCTCCTCCGCCACCACCAACGTACGAATGGATCCTAGACCATCAATGACACACAACTGATTAACTGATTAACTGATTTTCCCTAAAAGTCGGCAAGCTTACAAATTTGACACAAAAAGCCGTTAAGTTCGTTATCCGAGACAAAATTTTTGCAAAATAAAAGTTCGTTAACCGATTTGGTCGTTAACCAGAACGTTCGTTAACCGGGGTTCCACTGTATATAAAATTATGCTTAATAACGTATCTATTCCTCATCTCTAATATTCACAATACAACACATTCTCTCCATAACTCTTGTTATTAGATAATGATCACACATGTAATAATAAGCATATTAAGCAGGTTAAATTATATTAAAATATGCAATTTATATAATAATAAAAACACTTGATAGAAATTCAAATTACTTGTCCTATTTATAAAAATAAGAACTGCATCATTAGTTGTTTTATTTAACTTTTATTAAGTTAAATAAAACGACTAATGATACAGTTCTTAATTTTATAAATAGAACAAGCAATTTGAATTTCTATCATCAAGTGTTTTTATTATATAAATTGCATATTGTAATATAATTTAACCTTGGAAGTTTTACAAAAAATACTTTAAATAACTCGGTTTTTGAAATGTAATTGTTTGTAATAAATTCAAAATTACAAGCGGGTCGACAGGAGAGGGGGCATTTTTACTGGATCCAGATCTGTGTGATAAAACATATAAAGTTTAAAAAAAATCAATTCAATTAACGTAATTTCAAGTGCATAATTAGAGAAAATGTAAATATAATAATCAGAGAGCATCACTCATAGGAAGAGATAAAAGAATCCTTACTAATCCTTATCAATTGGGTGACATACAAAACAGAGTGTGTGGTGTATTATCTGGGTACTCCCTCCTCTAAGGTTTTCATATCTATTCTTGTCTTTCATCGATCTAATCTTGAGATTAAGAAAAGACGAACAGACGGACGACAGTGAGAATTTATAGGTCTACAATTTTTCTAAATTGCAGCCCAATTACTAATATGAGCGTAAATTTAATTTATTTAAATTAATAAAGGTAATACCCAACAGGAGAAGAGAGAAAACTTCTTCAAATACTTAAGTGAAAGCAAGAAACAACATTGAACGTACGTAAACAAACAATATAAACATGTATAAAACAAGTAGCAGACAGTAAAATAAAATAAATAAAAGTACATTAATTAAATAANCAGTTCTTAATTTTATAAATAGAACAAGCAATTTGAATTTCTATCATCAAGTGTTTTTATTATATAAATTGCATATTGTAATATAATTTAACCTTGGAAATAAATTGCTTATTGTAAAATAATTAAAACTGGAAATATATTTCTGCTAAACAGATCTGTGGACTGACTTTTTCCAATGAGAGAAAACACATTGATCTTTAAAAAGCTATTCAAATGAAAAAAATTCTCATGAAACCATACAATTTCAAGACTTTAAAGAGAACAATCTTCACTTCGCTTTTCTGTTCAATATTTTTTTTGTCATGTTAATTAATTTTATTTAGCCAGTATTAATAGTTAATAAATTAGTTTTGTGTTCCCAAGATAATGATAAATTATTTTATCCATCCCAATATAATTTTTTTATAACATTTAAGCAGATTAAAAAGATGATTTTATTAATGCTTTAGTAAGAAAGTGTTATCAAAAGTCCCGAGAATAAACTGTTCAAAAATATTAGATATTGATAAATTGTTCAAAACAAAAAATTTAATTAATAAGCTTTGAAGCCTAAAATAACTTGATAACAACAATGTGAATTTATACTTACTTATTTCATGACATTACAACATTATTATAAAAGATATATTAGTGCATATGTATATATCTATTATAATAATAAAGATGTATGGTTCAGAAATAGCTATCTTTTTAAAAATATCATAAAGAACATAGGAACATTGAAACTCTCATGGCCCCTTGTGGAGAGCAATAATGCATAATCAAATTCTTGGCCTCTTTGTGCTCTCTAAGCGGTAAGGGGCCTAAAACTACAAATAAAAAAAAATCAAATCTAACATTTAAGTTCTAAACAGAAAAAAATGTACTGTTTTGTAATTTCTTAATATAAGCATTTCATAGATATTATCAGCTCATCAATAAAGAATTAATAAAAATACAACAAACTAATGAACAGAAGGTACAATCTCTAAACTAATATAAAATATAAAAAATTAATTAATAATAAATACTAATATTAAATATAAGAAAATAATTAATAAATATTGCAAAAAATTATAAGCTTTATGATACTGAATCTTAAAAATCCATAAATATGAAATTATAAAAAAAACAGTACAACTACTATAAAAGTAGATTTTATAAATCAATCAGAATATAAATATCTAACTAGTAATTGAGAAGAATTTGCCTCTAATTATAATAGGATAATTAATTAACACCCTGATATTTATAAAAAAAATACAATGTACAATTTTATTGCAAAAACCATGCAGTATCACTGGTAAATTATGTTATATGATTTTTTAAGTATCTTTGCAATCAAACATTCTCTAATACTGTAATTGTAATACAGTAGACCCCCTATAACAGGGGTTCATATAACATGGATTCGTATAACATGGTGAAAAAATTGCGATCATGTTTGTATAACACGCTAAAAGAGACTCATATAACACAGTAAAACATCATCGCCAACTCATGCTGCGACAGGATTGGTCGAATCTGGACCAATAGCAGATATTGTACAAACCGTTGAGTTTAAATGAGCAGCAGACCTACTAAAAACCATTTATTATTTAATGCCCATACAAATTATATTTATATTAATGATGTCTCCAAAATTCAACAAATTTTTCACAAAACAATAACTTATCGGAAAACACGCGTCCACAATTCGATGACAAGCTCCACGACGAAAACAAGCTTAAGCAATGGCGTCGTCGAATGGTGCACACTCGGTAAGTAATCCTATAATTTTTTGTTTATAGCATAGTTTATATGGATTATTCCCAAAAAATTATATGTGTTTTGGAAATGTTGAGTCAAATTAATCTAGAATTGGTTAATTTTATGGAAGAAAACCTTTCAAACAGCCATAGCCCCTAAACTGCACATGTGCTGGGCTGTGATTGGCTCATGTATGTAAGTGACTTGTACAACACAGAATTCATATAACACGGAATGTATCTACTGTGTTATAAGGTGGTCTACTGTATTTAATAAATATTACAATTACAATTTTAGTTGTTTAATTTACAATTTTAACTGTTTAAAGTTTTATCAAATAACTAAACAAATTATAATGTTCAATATGACTAATATATCACACCATTAAATACTATAGCCACATACTAATGTGAGATCCAGGAGTTAATCAGAAATAATTAAAACAACTAACTGTTTAATTGTTGATATGTGGGAACGTAATTATGTATATGAGTCTCATGGTGCAAATCTGACAACAAGGCAAATTCTCATTGCTCTAGCTGGCCCAGCAATGACACATTCAAAGTGTCATCTTTAGAAAACATAAGATCACCTGACCAAATTCTCACATCAGAGGAATAAATAACAGCTGCACACCCGATCTACAGTGCGGACTTCCCCAGAAGAAGGAGCCATAAACTATGGCTTGTCTCGCCATACTCCAGGCAAACCCTCTCCCAGAAGTGCAAACCCTCTCCCAGAAGTGGACGGCAACCAAGAAGCAACAAGATAAACTTCCGTCTGTCCCAACTTTCATCCTCCCTATGAAGACCAACCCTTTTCTAAGAGAGGTCAACAATCATCTACCCAACAGAGGTATTTTAGAATTGTAAACTCTTTCTCTTGGTCAATTGAGATGTTAGCTTTAGTCAGTATATTGCAGGTTATTGTATCATATGCTTTTCTTTTAGTTTATTAAATTTGTTGTTCAGTAAGCTGACATTGATTTCAATTATTCGAACTGGACATCTTATCAACTTACCTGAAGACCTCCCCACTTAACATAAAGTCCTCCAATAAAACGAATTGAGCATAATCATGAGTTAAAACGCAAACTACAACTATCCCAACTGGTGTCAGGAATCCTAGACAATCGGAAGATCTTGATGATCTTCCTGTTAAGCTCAACTAAAGCCATCCAGTGATGCTGTGAGTGAGACTTACCGCCCTGATGTTGAGAAAGGGTTTAGAGCTTTACTCTCTAATCCTTGGCTTCTCACACTAATTGAGACAATTGAAAAGCTATTTAAAGTTTATTAAAAAATATATTGTAACTTTAATTTCTTTAAATCATTTATGTGTAAAATTCGATTTATGTAATTATCAATCATCAACAAACAAAATTCATGTTATATGAATTACAATNCTTGGCTTCTCACACTAATTGAGACAATTGAAAAGCTATTTAAAGTTTATTAAAAAATATATTGTAACTTTAATTTCTTTAAATCATTTATGTGTAAAATTCGATTTATGTAATTATCAATCATCAACAAACAAAATTCATGTTATATGAATTACAATTAATTTGTTTATGTGATATATAATGATTACTTATTAACAAACATTTTAAGTAAACCTAATCATTTTTATTTTAAATTAACTAAATGAGAGCAAACTTATAAATCAAATTGAGCCTTAGCTTAAAATATTAAAAATGAATAACACATTAGTTTTCATTCAAATCATTTACAGTATACAAAAATTTAAATTACAATATAAAATTACAAAGGAAATTAAATTAAAAATTAAAAAAAAACAAATGAAACTAAACTTACAATTTTCTTGATGTTGTGATGAGCAATCTATCCAATTATGTTCATTTGCAACTAATACTAATTCAAATTCTTTCAAAGTAATATTAAAATGCCATGTATATGGAACAAATTTTAATAAATCTGGTCTTGATTTGCTAGACCAATCTTCAATTAATGCTATAAAGATAAAATGAACAACATTGAAGAATATTAAAATTTATAAATTCTTCTTTAAACATGTTGCTTTTATATATTTATAAAAAATATTAATAAATATTACTTAGTCATGACTAAAAATTATATTTAGATAAAATAATAATATTTTCAGTTTTATGTCCATAACATTTCATTTATATTCTCATTTTAGGTTAAGATAAATATAATGTAAAAAATGCATTTTGAATTATTTTTCATTAGATAATTCTGTTGGATTATTATAAATAATCCAACAGAAACATACATACTAAAAAGCTGGCAATGTTGTTGCTGAACTTTCCTGGCATTCATCATTTATTTTCACTCCTAATAATTGCTACCATTATCTTTTGACTTTCACATTTGCATAAAATTACCAATATGAATGATTACTCATAAAATGGGGGTCATTTAACTATTTTAAAACTTTACCCCCACATCTTCAACTTATAAAGATATTTTGATCTAATTTTGATGAAATTATAAGTAATAACACAAAAAATATTTATCTTAAAGAATTTCATTAAAAAAATAGTTTGATATGATGGAACACATCTATGAAAATATATGTAAATAAAGCAAAATTTATTTTATTAAGAGAGAATTTAAAGAATAACAATGAAATTTGTGGACAACACAATGAAAGTAATTAATCAATGTATGTAGTCATCAACAAACAAAAGCATGTAAAGTTTTTGAATATGTTCCATGTTTTCTTAACATAATCTGAACACTGTCAGGTGCATCAACTAGTATTATATATTTTCAAAAATTATGTAAGAATGCTATAATCATATGTTGTTATAATAATTTAAAATAACAGTATACTACTTAAGCATTATATTTTACTTAAAGTGATGTAAGAATAATGAAAACTATATTAAATATGTTATACTATGTTTTAAGATTACCTTGAAAAAATGATTTGTGTGCATATATCAACTGAACAGTAGCCTTACACCCAGTTAAATTACAAGTCCAGTCTTGATATTCATTCCAAATCCTTGGGTATTGTATTTGAACATCAAACTGTAAATAAATATATTAATTTTTTTAATGTTTATTTATTACATTGAATTGAATTAATAATTCAATTATTTTTAAAAAACACAGCATGTTTTAGTTGCTAGTGGAAAATTTTTAAATAAAAACATTATTTTTATTTAATTAGTAGAATTGTATATAATAATATTCAAAGTCAATATTAATTAAGATAAAAATTCAGTTGTGATATATATACAGGTATCCCTTGGTTTACTCCAGCTCAATTTACACAGATTCACAATAATGCCGCTGCGCAATTCACCGTTTTGCGGTGTAATTCCCTGATTTTCCCTATGCTAGACTGATTTTCATTTCAGTGTTGACGTATTTACCGAGCCACGACATTGTACATTCGTTAAAACAAAGATTTTTATTGAATATACTTATTTTTTCTGTTTAATATTATTGGGTATGTATACATTTGCATTAAATTAATATTAAAATACTAAACATTTATGAACCCACAAGTCAAGTTATTAAAGTTAATAGTCCAATAAATGGTGTCCGAATCCATAGTGCCAATGAATGTATCCCGTATCAGTTCGTTCAGGAAAACACCTTACGACGCAGTAGCACTTCCGGCGATCACAAACTATCGTTAGTGAGACAAATCTACTTCTCGTTGGCCAGACGATACTTTTTTGTTAGCCAGACGATATCTATCTCTCCTTAGCCACCTTGAATTTTCCTGCTCAAACTGACCTTATATATGCGCTACGGCGACCGGTGGTCGACCAATCAGTGTCTCCGCTCGTCCGTAGCTCTACGTCGGGTTAACGTATCCTTTCAACTATGGAAAGTTTGACGGATGAACTTTGTGAGTTAGACAATGATTGGGAGTGAAGTGCAAATGTAAAAAGGAGCATCATCACATCCATTTGACCATATTCCGAAATTCTCAATGAAAGAAAACAAAAATGTAAACAATTAAAGATTGATAATTTTTCCGAAAAATGTAAGAGATCTGAAACTAAAACTTTTTAATAAAAACATTTCACTTTATTTTATGATAAAATACATTTTAAAAATTAAATTTATTTGTATTTTGCATTATATGTATTAATAAACAAAATTATTTGCATATTTTTCACTTACATAGAACCTAACCCTATACCTCAGTGTAAATATGGTTCATTTTACAGCGATTCGATTTGTGCTGGCTTTTGTAGGAACAGAACTGCGGCATAAACCGAGGGCTACCTGTACATACATTGGTATTTATAGACACATAAACATTTATAATAAGAAACAAGATATTAGATATATTAACACATTTGTGATAAATCAGACTTCAGCATAAACAATTTAATGTCGTAATATCAACTTTCACATCTGGGAGTAAATCATTTGTTAAGTTCTCAGCAGTAAAAGCAATGCTTTCTTATAACCTCTCAACCTACTATCTCAATTTCTCCAAGTAAATATAGCCAGAAACTGAAAGTTTAGGCAGTCGTCGCCAGTCCCTCAATGGAATATCATCCCTTATCTAGTGCCTAATTTAGTGCCAACAAATATACCTAATTCTTGTGGATACTTCAGTTCAATGGATACTTCTTCATCTACGGGTACACATTTTGAAGACAAACTCTATCTCAGGGGACAAAGGTACATCGCTATACGATCAAGAACACCTCCCAAGAATGTGCACCAGACTATTTTCGAACATCATCATCCAATTTATCTCCACGTGAATCTCATATAAACTCTCTCTCTTCTCTCGCAACCACTTTCAATTAAAGATCCCTTGAAGTTAAGGCCTAACAAACTGTAATGAAACTATAAATTGTATCATGTTGCCTATGTAATTAAATTGTTATTAGTTGTTAACTTGGTACCCTAGTGATTCACTTCTAGTACACTGTCTCTCAACCCATCTCCATCCCAAATCCAATCGCCTGTGTACAAAACTGCTCATGGGACCGAATCAACATGCCATCTCAGCTTCCGTGTCAATTGGGACATGATGGTGTCAGTCCTGACGAGGCACTAAAGAGGTGCTGACCCTCCAGTCACACATTTGTTTTCAGTTGATGTAATTCTGCATTATGTAAAGGTTCCATGATGCAAAAGCACATCAATTGGCAGCAAACATGTTAATGAATGATTTGGATAACAAATTGAAAAATTAATATATATAAAATTAATATTATTTAATTAATCTTAGCATTTCTCAAATCAAACTTCCTGTTTTCTAATTTCTTAGGAATCCATTTCAAAATGTGAAATGTGAATTTCTTATAATTAAAAACATTAGTTATAAAGCATCTTTATTACAATTTTTACTGTAATACCATTACAGTAAAAATTGTAATAATATTAAATATAAAAATTGTAATAATCTCTCTATAATTACAAAAGGATGATATTGAAATGAAATTGCAAGTAAAGTTAAATTATAATATATGAATAAATTAAATGTTTTAAAACAGAAATTAATATTAACATAAAGTTAACAAAATTATCAATAATAAAGTTGATATGTAAAAATAAATTAATTCATTCATAATTTAAATTTCATATTTTTTTAATGTACAAAGTACATCTAATAAGTTTGGAGACTGAATTTATAAATTAAAATAAAAGTATTTTGCAGAAATGATTCAATTTAGTATCAGTCTTCAAAATACATTCTTCCATGATCTATACAAATTTTTACATGCTCTGTTAATTTATGTATGCCCTCACAAAAAGATCTTTTTTGAATGTTATTTATATCCCTCTGTACAACCTCTTGAATTTCCAAAACTGATTAAAATTTTCTCTCGTTCAAAGCATATTTTAATTTGGATAACATCACTCTCAACTGACCATTTCCTGTTTCCAAATTAAAATTTGCTTTGAAAGAGAGAAAATTTCTATCTCAAATATCCAAGAGGGAACCAAACAGCATTCCAAAAAGATTCTTTCATGAGGGCATATAGAAATTACTAGAATGTCCAAAAATTTGTATATATCACAGAGGAGTGTATTTTGGAGACTAATGCTATTGTAAATTGAATCATTTCTGCCAGAAACTTTTTTATTAAATTCAGTCCCCAAACTTAATAGATGCAACTTAAACAGGGGTGTGCAAAAGTAGGTATACAGTTGAGAATCTAAAAAATACAAATGTTTGGTGTTCATTATTATTATTTTTATTATCTTTTATTAGTTTGTATTCCTTATTTATTTGTGATTTAATTTGTACATAAAAATGTTTTTTCTTCCTATTTTCTCCCTGTATGTTTTTTTTCCATAATAACAACTGCATACCTACTTTTGCACCCCCTTGTATATATAAATAACATACAGTAGAGCATCATTTATCCGAATCAATTGGGGACTGGGGTGGTTTGGATAACTTATTTTTCGGATAACGAATCATGTACGAAAAAATATATTAATTTATCCCATGTTNTGTTGGCCAGAAGATACTTTTTTATTAGCCAGAATTATTAGCCAATTTCTATGATATGAATTTCTATGATATGATTTCAATGATATCTACTTCTTGTCAGTCAGATGATATCTATCTCTCCTTAGCCATCTTGAATTTTCCTGCTGAAACTGACCTTATATATGTGCTACAGTGACCGGTGGTTGACCAATCAGTGTCTCCACTTATCTGTAGCTCTATGTCGAGTTAATGTATCCTTTCAACTATGGAAAGTTTGACAGATGAACTTTGTGAGTTAGACAATGATTGGGAGCAAAGTGCAAATGTAAAAAGGAACATAATCACATCCATTTGACCATATTCTGAAATTCTCAATGAAAGAAAACAAAAATGTAAACAATTAAAGATTGATAATTTTTCCGAAAAATGTAAGAGATCTGAAACTAAAACTTTTTAATAAAAACATTTCACTTTATTTTATGATAAAATACATTTTAAAAATTAAATTTATTTGTATTTTGCATTATATGTATTAATAAACAAAATTATTTGCATATTTTTCACTTACATAGAACCTAACCCTATACCTCAGTGTAAATATGGTTCATTTTACAGCGATTCGATTTGTGCTGGCTTTTGTAGGAACAGAACTGCGGCATAAACCGAGGGCTACCTGTACATACATTGGTATTTATAGACACATAAACATTTATAATAAGAAACAAGATATTAGATATATTAACACATTTGTGATAAATCAGACTTCAGCATAAACAATTTAATGTCGTAATATCAACTTTCACATCTGGGAGTAAATCATTTGTTAAGTTCTCAGCAGTAAAAGCAATGCTTTCTTATAACCTCTCAACCTACTATCTCAATTTCTCCAAGTAAATATAGCCAGAAACTGAAAGTTTAGGCAGTCGTCGCCAGTCCCTCAATGGAATATCATCCCTTATCTAGTGCCTAATTTAGTGCCAACAAATATACCTAATTCTTGTGGATACTTCAGTTCAATGGATACTTCTTCATCTACGGGTACACATTTTGAAGACAAACTCTATCTCAGGGGACAAAGGTACATCGCTATACGATCAAGAACACCTCCCAAGAATGTGCACCAGACTATTTTCGAACATCATCATCCAATTTATCTCCACGTGAATCTCATATAAACTCTCTCTCTTCTCTCGCAACCACTTTCAATTAAAGATCCCTTGAAGTTAAGGCCTAACAAACTGTAATGAAACTATAAATTGTATCATGTTGCCTATGTAATTAAATTGTTATTAGTTGTTAACTTGGTACCCTAGTGATTCACTTCTAGTACACTGTCTCTCAACCCATCTCCATCCCAAATCCAATCGCCTGTGTACAAAACTGCTCATGGGACCGAATCAACATGCCATCTCAGCTTCCGTGTCAATTGGGACATGATGGTGTCAGTCCTGACGAGGCACTAAAGAGGTGCTGACCCTCCAGTCACACATTTGTTTTCAGTTGATGTAATTCTGCATTATGTAAAGGTTCCATGATGCAAAAGCACATCAATTGGCAGCAAACATGTTAATGAATGATTTGGATAACAAATTGAAAAATTAATATATATAAAATTAATATTATTTAATTAATCTTAGCATTTCTCAAATCAAACTTCCTGTTTTCTAATTTCTTAGGAATCCATTTCAAAATGTGAAATGTGAATTTCTTATAATTAAAAACATTAGTTATAAAGCATCTTTATTACAATTTTTACTGTAATACCATTACAGTAAAAATTGTAATAATATTAAATATAAAAATTGTAATAATCTCTCTATAATTACAAAAGGATGATATTGAAATGAAATTGCAAGTAAAGTTAAATTATAATATATGAATAAATTAAATGTTTTAAAACAGAAATTAATATTAACATAAAGTTAACAAAATTATCAATAATAAAGTTGATATGTAAAAATAAATTAATTCATTCATAATTTAAATTTCATATTTTTTTAATGTACAAAGTACATCTAATAAGTTTGGAGACTGAATTTATAAATTAAAATAAAAGTATTTTGCAGAAATGATTCAATTTAGTATCAGTCTTCAAAATACATTCTTCCATGATCTATACAAATTTTTACATGCTCTGTTAATTTATGTATGCCCTCACAAAAAGATCTTTTTTGAATGTTATTTATATCCCTCTGTACAACCTCTTGAATTTCCAAAATTGATTAAAATTTTCTCTCGTTCAAAGCATATTTTAATTTGGATAACATCACTCTCAACTGACCATTTCCTGTTTCCAAATTAAAATTTGCTTTGAAAGAGAGAAAATTTCTATCTCAAATATCCAAGAGGGAACCAAACAGCATTCCAAAAAGATTCTTTCATGAGGGCATATAGAAATTACTAGAATGTCCAAAAATTTGTATATATCACAGAGGAGTGTATTTTGGAGACTAATGCTATTGTAAATTGAATCATTTCTGCCAGAAACTTTTTTATTAAATTCAGTCCCCAAACTTAGTAGATGCAACTTAAACAGGGGTGTGCAAAAGTAGGTATACAGTTGAGAATCTAAAAAATACAAATGTTTGGTGTTCATTATTATTATTTTTATTATCTTTTATTAGTTTGTATTCCTTATTTATTTGTGATTTAATTTGTACATAAAAATGTTTTTTCTTCCTATTTTCTCCCTGTATGTTTTTTTTCCATAATAACAACTGCATACCTACTTTTGCACCCCCTTGTATATATAAATAACATACAGTAGAGCATCATTTATCCGAATCAATTGGGGACTGGGGTGGTTTGGATAACTTATTTTTCGGATAACGAATCATGTACGAAAAAATATATTAATTTATCCCATGTT